ATACATACATACATACATACATACATACATACATATATGTATGTATGTATGTATGTATGTATGTATGTATGTATATATATAGTGAGTATACAACTTGAATAACAGTGTCAATGTGCTGTCCCTTCAAAATAACGCAACACAGAGCCATTAAATAATAAGGAAAATAATGGTGGTCACACAAAATGTTGGCCCCATTTGGACATTATCACTTAAGGGTGATAATCACAAGCGTTGCCAGCAATTTAGATGTTAAAGGATGTGTGTTGCATTATTTTGAGAAGAGAGCACATTTACACTGTTATACAAGTTGCATACTCGCTACTTTATAGGCAAGTGTCATTTCTTCAGTGTTGTCACTTAAATATTACAAAATGTGAGGGGGTATAGTCACTTCTGTGATATACTGTATTGTCTATTGCATTGTATTGCATTGTAAGGCAGTTACGATTTGGGGAAAACTTACTTTTAGAAACCAAAGGTTTCTTGTCAGGCAACATCAAAAAAATATGGAACATCAGAACTGCATGACATGGAAACTGGCAACAATAAATAGAGAAGGTTTTTACAGTTTTATAGTTTATCTTGCTAATTCTTTTTGAAATATTTTCTTCAAACTAAACACCGGTCTCTTACTTACTAAAAGTTGACCTCGATTAAGGTGCCTAACAAACAGCACTCTTCAACAAATTACAAAGGATGAACAAAAATGAACAGATAAACTCTTATGGATTATTAGTTTATGAAATTGTCTGATGATGCAACTTTAGGCTTAGTGTGGGTGGTGATGTTATGCTCAGTCAATATATAATGGTTGAAAACAATATTAACCATTAACACATTTATTATTATTTCAAGAGAAATAATTGAGACCTCAAGAAAAGCCCTGCATTTACTGAAGCAAGAACACCCTAAATGTAAGCCAACACTTTCTGTTATACAGGTAAGACAAAAATAAAATCTGCAGGATTTGAATTTCAAAAGTGGGCCGTGTTTTGTGGAAGAAAGGAATATTATGGAGTCATAATATTCATATGACTCCAACCTCTGATAAAATTGAAATCTATAAATATACAGTGGCATTAAAATCTGTGTGATAAGTGGAAAGTAGAGGTTTTGTAAGCGTTTCTGTTGCATGGTGAACAGATAGCTGGTAAGAATAGTTTATTCTTACATTTCCTTAATAGGTGGATGTAATATATTGCAATGAAATTTCAGATGAGCTTAAATTTTCATTATCCCTCAATAAGAATCACACTGCTTTGGATGTGGTGACATCCCTTCATTTGTAGCCCTCCTAAAAAAAACAGGTCTAAATTGTGAATGCTTCTTTAGAACATAACACAGTATGGAGTGCCAGACAAGTTGAAAGAGGGAATTAGTACAAATGCTCCATTGGGTTTATGCCAGTGGCAGGCAGTCTGTTGCCCTCCATTGTTTACGTAGTCTTAGCAGTTGTAAGAATTGAAATCCAACACATCTTTATGGAGTCAGGTGTGAAAAGCTGCACTATACCACAATGTCTTATTGTGCCATACTGTTTCATCTTCTGCTTAGGAAACCACCATGTATGCATAATGCCATATTTGCTGCAAAAAGTCTGCCCATATACCTTGGAGAGTCAAAAAATGCTAAAATATTCCTGTACAGATTCCCAGTCTTTTCATTTTTTTGTGTGTTTTGTTTTTGCTGTATATCTGAAAATCATGCTAGTATGTTTCCATTCCTTTCTGTTTTGCTTCTGTACTACTGCAAGAATATGAAAGGGTCAGACTTTGCTAAAATAATTTCAAAGATTTGCAAAGCAATTTTATATCATAGATCTTGTGAAAGATATTTGATAACCTTCCCTAAATTTGCTTCTTATATGTTAGTTATGGAATACAAGTATTTTCTATTCAGTTCAGTTAATCATAGACTCAATTTCAAATCTCTGATTTCTAGCCACTTTTACTTTGGTTATTACTTGCAGACCATTGCTTTTCCAGAATATTTTATTTAGCCTCTTACAATTTTATCTTCCTTTTCTATTTTTTTCAAGGTCGGTGATGATTGTTTGGGACAAGAAATTATCAGAAAAGTTGCTAAAGAGGTAAAAGTATGGGGGGGAAACTTTCTCCACTAAAAAAAAATTAAGCATTGAAAGATGGTTGAATTTATTTATTCATTTTTTCCTTTTAGATTGGTGTGGATATTGTTCATATTTGTCTTCCCTATGACAGTACTGAAAACGAGGTAAACATTTTAAAAATTCTACTTATTTACATGTTCTGTGTTGTTAGATTTGATATAATCTTAGAAATAATTATCTCAATCCTATGCAAGTTTGCTCTACTTTCTGAAAAGCTACAGGATTCAATGAAGTTAGTGAGTAAAATAGTATTACTTGCATATTATTAATTAGTTCATAAACATATTCAATCTAAATAAAATCTCTCTGAGATAGTTAAACATGACAACTTTTAGTTATATCCAAATAAAAACTAGTATAGTTGTTTATTTATATTTGTATTGCTATCAGAAGATACTTCGCCAATCAGAAACCAATAGCTGTTGAATGTAAAATGTTCAAATGATCAAATAAAAAGTTTTCAACTCAGTACTATTTGGGGAATTATTATCAGGCTTATCATTGCAGTGATCATTTTATGTAATTTATATGTGCTAGTTTTACAATGGCATGACTACAAAATTAGCAACAACAAAAACTATCAGTGTGGCATAAATTCAAAGACTCCTTGGTGCAAAAAGAAACATTTCTACACACAAATAGTTATTTTTCTTAAATGTAGCTTTTCAAGAGAGATCAAAAGCTACATCTAAAAAGATAAGCATTTCTCTATGGAAATTATCTGATCCAAGATTATAATCAAACAATAAATCAACAGGATTTCAAAAAGAAATTAAAACTATGGTGTTATATCCAATTATCTGGGAATAAGCCGTAAAATGTAGTGGGACTTGCTTTTGTGTAGATATGCATACACCATTTTATATATTTTAATAAAAATGTGGATTTATGAAAAGATATTATCGAGAATTGAATGTGAATGTATGTAAACATATATGAAGATCTAAATTAATACCAAGCACAGAGTTTACCAAAAATGTTTCCTGCAAGATTCCACACAAAAAAAATCTTGGTTATTAATATTGTAGTGTACGCTAAAGTTATGCTATGATTTCTGCCAGCACAGGATTATTTTCATGTTTCAATCCCTCAGAATAAACTAGACATAAACTAATAAGTGAGTCTGAAGTTTCATTACATGTTCTGGCAAGTTGGCACAGTGTAATGAACTTTATGAAAGTTTTCAGATCTGGCAAGTTAGCACAATGTAATGAAAATATAAGCCCTCTTTTGAGGTAAACTTTATTTCTGGTGCCCACATGGACATAATCAGAATGGTAATTTAGAAGTGACTCATTAGTACCTTCTTTCAGAGTGATTTCGTCAAATTACTATGCTATTCTTTCACAATGGCTTGCTGTCAGCCTTACCAGGTAGATCAGAAAGGAAACATAAGCAGATAACCTAATTCTATTTTATGGAAAAGCTAACAGAATCATACAAGTCTAAAACTTGAAATCTCTCACCATCTCTTTTTATAGCCTGATAAATTAGGGAGAATCCTTTTTATGTTTGTTTCACTCTCCCTTATGTGGCTGTGGGCTCACCCTCCTTATCTGATTGTTCCCTAAGGAACTCTTCCTCCCCTCCTCCTCACATACGATTACAGTTGCCATATTCAACCTATTCGCTTTTATCAGGATTTGCCAAGGTTGTCTGAATGCTGTCACTTGTAGGTTACCTGAAATGTATTTGTGCCTGTTTGTTTATAGTTCTCCAAAATACTTTTATCCCCCTGCATTCTGTTCTGAGAAGCTGAACAATAAAAGTAAGTTAAAAATATGGAGAATATGGTTATTAATGTCGTCTTAATGATTTTTAATTGCCCCCAATACTGGAGAGAGAGCCAGTTTGGTGTAGTGTTTGAGGCAGGAGCCTAGAAAGCAGGCTAGAAAATGTGAGTTCTAGTCCTGCTTAGGTACAAAGCCAGCTGGGTGACCTTGGGCCAGTTCCACTGTCTCAGTCCTAGGAAGCAGGCAGTGGAAAACTACTTCTGAAATACCTCAGCAGGAAAACTGCAGGGACCTGTCCAGACAATCATGAAGAATCATAAACATACCCAAGGTGCATTTATAACAGTGTGTGCACACACACATACACACATACTAACAAGTACTAAAGATGGCATGCCTGAATGCCATGGGAATGCAAGTTACTGGAGGACACAAGTAAGAGAACACAATTGTGGTGTGTTTTGCCATGTGGATTTCCCAGGTTGACGCTTATAGGAAGAAAATATTGATATACACTTTTACATATAACTCCTCTTCCATTTTGTGGATACTGAGTCTTTGAAAAACAGACAGCTACTTTCTTCATGTTCTTATAATATCCTCCCTTACCATGCTCCACTAGAGAATATTTAGGGAAGTACACTGGGCTGTGTGAGTAAGGGGGGGAAAAAGGAGTCTCCTGCTATTTTTGCAGAGTTCTACTTTTGTTGTGGTCTGCAAGTCTGTCCATGACCTTTGGATTTTCCAGTGAAAACATGTTGTCCAGATTCCATGTATAATATTCATTCACTTATCTGGTGTGTTGGATTTTTTCCATGCTGAAATTATGATTTTATCTTTGTTGCCTCCTTTTTACTGAATAGAACAAATGTTCCTGACAGTAATTATGCAGCTTTGCTATGGCTGCTCTTTCTGTTGACTGTCTGAACTTGTGGACTGCTGCAGATTCAAGCTTTGTACTGATATCTGACTCCCACACACATCTCCTTGATCTGCTTTCATGTAACCTCATTCTCATACGGTTCCTTTATCACGGAGCACCATTCCTCAGTTGGACACTGGAATGATGTAGTTCATGTAACTGCCTATAAATGACATAAGCACAATAGGGCCATAATTGATTTTTTATGATCATAATTATGACTGTATTTTTGAAATGAAAGTGCATTTGCCATTAGTCAGCTTCTTCATATTTTAAACTTTCAATAACTTTATATACGATAACATTTTTATTGGTAACATGGCTCTTTTTAAATTTGGCTCTGTTAACCTTGTGTGTTACCTTTTAGATCATAGGTGAAATTATAAAACTCAACGAGGATCCTAGAATTCATGGACTTCTCCTTCGCCTTTGTAGAGAATCATACACAAGCAAAATATTGAATGCTGTGAAACCAGAGAAAGATGTGAATGGGTAAGCTAAACTTTGTAAATTCCGTTGAGCAGATCTGGATTTTGCATCTTTAAAAAAGTTGTGCAAGCTTATGGATTTCATACTTTTAAGAACAGATTAATAAGAAAAATAAGCTAGTAGTTTTCCAAAATTAAATATAAAGCTACTCTGTAAATCATGTTGGTTAGAACACAACCTTAGCATTCTGCAAATCCACAAAAGAGAGTGCTCAAATATATTAGATGTTGTTTTTAAGGCCCTTCTTAAAGTCTTTTATTCTATTCCAAGCTTCTGAAAGGCATCTGTACTGCTAAACTATACCAGTAATGAGAAAAGCCAATTATTTAAACAATAAAACAAGTCAGATATATCTAATATACAAACAAATAACAGATTTCTCTCAGCTGTACCTAGATGTTTCAGGGATGTTCTTCATTCCCATCTCCTTGGGGCCAAGCAAAACAGGTGTGAAAGCTTAGGTAGCATTGGGGCAAAAGGATTAAGAGCTTTGCAGCTGCCTTTAAGAAATGTAAGCGGTGGCTCCTTCTGAATAACACTTGGAGTAACTTGTCTATCCAGTGATTTACAGAAGTGAATTTAGATCATGGGGACCTCACTAGGCTTTGACCAGCATATAAACTGCTGTATTTAAAAAGCAGACTGGGCTAGAGCTGGGGTGGGGGAGTAGTTTTAAGAGGTAGAAATTGGAACCTAGAAAAAGATTCCACAAAAAGAGCCAAAATTCTGGTTAGGGAACCCAGAGGCTAGATTAAAGGAGTTAGTGGTGGAGTGCAACTTTTAGTTTCCCAATTTTAGGTCTGATTTGTAACTCCAATGTTTTTCTTCCAAATTGTATTCAGACCAGAGGTGGTATTCAGGAGGTTCTGACCAGTTCTGGAGAACCGATAGTGGAAATTTTGAGTAGTTTGGAGAATCAGTAAATACCACCTGACTCTGGCCCCACCCCCATCTATTATCTGCCTCCTGAGTCCCAGCTGATCAGGAGGGAATGGGAATTTTGCAGTAATTTTCCCCTGGAGTGGGGACGGAATGGAGATTTTACAGTAGCCTTCCCTTGCCATACCCACCATACCACTCTCACAAAACCAAACCACACCCATCAAGCCATGCCCCCGAAACAATAGTCAAAAACGTTTGAATCCCACCACTGATTCAGACTAATTGCCTGGGCTGTTAGAACCAGGGGTGGGAGGGACAGGGAGAATGAAGGATAGAAGACACAAATAAGATACTTTCAGATATTGAAATGATTCACTGAGAGAATTTTTTTTAACATCAGCAGATCAAGGGTAGGCAATCTAAGACTTCGTGGTTTAGGAGTATGCGAGGACCAAGCTTGGCAGAGCTGGACTAAGTACTTAGGATCTACATGCTAATAAAAAAGATTAGCTTGTTACAGAAGCCTTTGCATTGTCCTTGTATTGTGAGTTTTATTTTAAAAGCACAACCAAAGCTTTTGCTTGCATTTTCTTACATAAATTGCTGAGGACTGCCACATTCTCTGATTTTTGTTACAGAATAACAGATTTTAATTTGGCAAGATTAGTGCATGGAGACATGCATGAATGTGTGGTTCCCCCTATTGCCAGTGCTGTGATCAAACTTCTGGAAAAGCAAGGTACAATAGTAAATTATATTTAGTATCTCAGATCACTGTTCTTTGCTTGTCTTGGCTCATGTTTGACTTCTCAGTGACAACTTGTCTAAATAATTGGCCTACCTTGCAATTTCTTTGTTCCACTAGAATCAGTATTATTTACTAAAATAAGTACAAATCTAGTGTCCTACGGATTGCAATGTTCATTTGCAATGAAATTGGCAGTGGTTTCTGATAGGCCACTTATTTATATCTGAATTGCTAATGGGCATAAAATGTTAATGCTACTCAGAGAAAAAGGAAGAGAAAGCTGTTGTTTCTACCTTCCCTTTACCGTACTGACAAACAGAAAAAGAGCATATAAAAAGAAGAAATAAATTGCTCAATCCTTCTTCTTTTCTTATTGGTTTGTCTCTGAACTTCCCATTGTTTCCTGCACAATCTCCACTACTAATAAAATGTGGGTTGTAAGTTTGTGAAGTTTATTCATGATCATTAAAATAATCACTGACAAGAAGATATAATATTTAGGTGTATGCATGTTTCAAACATGGTCTGAAGAAGCTGTTTGCTGTTTCTTAATGTCATATTTCCATGGGAGTCTGAAAAGTAGGTGCCATTTGTTAAGGTTAATGGGACTAATAAATAGCAGAAAAGTGTTTCATGCATAAATAGGCACAAGATTTTTCTGCTTATTTACTTCTGCACAGTAGAGTTCTTCATGAACATCTGAGCCAGCTGTGAATTTACACATAATATGCCATTAAAAATTGGCAGAGAATTAAGAGTGTCTGATTATATTTTTGATTTTTAATATACTGTAGATAATATAGTGTTTCAAATTTGAAGTTAAAAAGAGAATTTAGAGTGGGCATAGATGCACATATAGAACCTCACCCAGTGGCATCTAGTGAAAAAAGCTGCACGTTTTCCTGGGCTCATGAGTTAGCTGTGCAATCCCAAGAAAATACAGATTTGAATTAAGGAGAGGAGCATTCCATATACACTAAAAGCATCTTATTGAACTTTGCTGGCACTTAGCTAAAAGTCCTATTTTAGCCAGGCTGGTTTTAAAGTACTTTTTCAAGTGCTGCAGATCTCTAATGTTAAAGATGCAGATTCATGCTTGGGTGATGTGCTAGAGTGAGGAAGGAAGAATCAAACTTTTGAAATCTGCACCTCAAAATGTATGTGTTTATGTGTGGAGTAGATCAGCGGTCCTCAACTTTTGCGGCTCGCCGGCCTAGCGGGGGCAGTGGAGAGAGAAACTTGGCTACACGAGCAGCGGGTGCGCACACGCGTGTGCAAATCTGAACTTGTGGGAGCAGTAGGCTGGCACACGTGCAGTTTGACTTGCTCAAGTTGAGCTGCACACACGTGTGCATGTGCGCTGGCCCGTTGCTCATGCAAATCGAACTGTGTGCACATGGATGCCAGCCCACTGCTCACAGGGCCTGGTTCCAAATAGCTCTCAATTCAGTAGTGGGCCGGGGTGTTGGGGACCCCTGGAGTAGGGGAATGAGTGAAAGAGAGGGCATTACAGGGTATGAAAGGGTGTGATATTGAATGTCCTCTATTTAAATCACTAGGACTTCTGAGACTTTAATAGAGGGTATAGAAGTAAGAAATTGCAATTGTAAATTTTTAAAAAAATAGAATACCACATGTATCGGTTTGGCACTGGATGCAATTAAGGTGATTAAACAAGCAACATTTGTAAGTAAATATGTATTTTTAATTGAGCATAATATGTATTTTAAAAGGTGGAATAAAAATATAAATTTCAGACCTAGAACTCACATTCCCCTGGTTTCTTAGCCAGCATTTTAAATACTACATCAAATTGGATTTCGTTAATGTTGTTAATGTTGTCATTAATATTTCTACTATTCACACCAAAACCACATTTTTTCATATATGTGCATAAAAAAAACTGCTTTTGGTCTCTCAGTCTGTCAAATTTAATTGGTGTGCTCTGTGTCACATTGATTTTGGTCATAGAAAAAATTCCTAAACTGTAATGCAGGTCTAGCCTATTTTATTTTAATAGAATGGTTTTTTTTCACAACAGAGAACAGTTTAGGAACACCAAGCTTCCATTTTATTATGTCATTTTGTTTCTCTAGTAATTTGCTCTTACTGTAGATAATGAGAACAATTGTTATCTTTTGCTTTCAGCATGTAATACCCTAGATGGAAAAAAATTATTACTTTTGGGCATCCAAGGACCATTGGAAGTTTCCTTGCAATGTCTTCTTCAAAGAAAAGGGGTCATGACTATGAGTTTGTCATGGAACATGAAGCAACTCCAGACAATGGTAAGGGCATAATACTTTTCTCTCTAGTTTGTTTGCTATCTTGTCATTATGGATCATTCAGAATTTTGAATATGTCACAAAAGCATTTGTTCCTTCAAAAAAACATAGTTTAAAGAAATATAAGCAAAGTGTACATTACTTCATCTCTAGATTTACTAGCTGGGTCCACATTTCACTATGTCCTAGTTTTTAACCATTTTAATACGTTCCATTTGGTTGAGTGCACATATTGCAGTAAAGGCATAAATTATGGATTGTGAAATTCACTGCACTGTACTGCTCTGCCTTTCTTCCATTCGTGCTCTTTCTTTATTTAGTGTTTAAGACAACATAGGAACAATTAAACACATGAATATATTGCATATATTCTCTTAGCTACTAGAGAGTGAAACTGCTATATAAAAAAGGGCTTTAATATCCAGCTATTAAATTATTGTGTACAAATAAATGTAGCATCTTCTTTCTTGGGTGTGGCATTTTCAAAGTGAGAGCAAGGGCAGGCTGCTGTCTTCACTCCCATTCTAGCTGGGAAGGTAAATCGGGTACATATAAGTTATCAGAAAAAGCCTCTTACATTGAAGTACATGGTGTTTTTTTAAAAATCCTGTCAGTAATAGAAACAATATAAAATCATTGATGCTAAACATTCCCAGCTTCTCACACTTTAGAGATGCCCCAAACTCTATAATCTATAAAATTTAATTTAACTGCTCCATAAAATGCTTTATATTGTAGTTTTCATCCACATCCATGATTCTATTGGACAAAACTATGTTATAAAAACCTAGGAAAGGAAAAAGTAGCATTTCAATGGAATTAAAGGCACAAGGAGAAAAGGCACAAGGAGAAAAACAAGAAAAGCATCCTTTCTTCCATGACATCCATGCATGGCTTGATAGATTGCCTTTTGTACCTTCAGTTCCCATTTCTCTTTTTAAGGAAGTCATCAGCTCCAATTAAATATACCTTTCTTAATTTTCCTCTTGATCTCATTGTATATATTTCAATTGTGTATTTGTTTTGTAATTATGTATTTTTTGGACTATAAGACGGACCTTTTTCCCTCAAAAAAAGAGGGTGAAAATCTGGGTGCATTTTATACACAAAATGCAGCATTTTTGGCCGCCTGAAAATCTTGCCTCTTCAAAATCTTGGTGCGTCTTATACTCCGAAAAATACGGTAGATCCTGATTCAGTTTCTTTATAAGATCAAAAACCCTTCAGTGTGCTTTGTTTATACTGGTCAGTAACTTTTGTATTCAGTCCACATTCATTCTTTATTTTCTCTCTTTTTCTAAGCTCACCTGCCTCTTTAAATAACCCGCTTTAATACCAGAAGGGGAAAAAACAAACTCTTGCACACAGGACATTTAGTTCAAATACCACTAGCATTCCATAGTGTACATACCGCTATCTTTCAATGGACATGCACACATACTGCATTAAACTTTCTTTACCCTTTCCCACATCATTTAGTGGATATTCTACCCAAGTATACTGTTTCATGTATGTATTTATTTTCCGACCTTTTATGTATATCTTGCTATATACAGGCAGTTCTCCTTTAGCAACCACAACTGGGACTGGCAACTTCATCACTAAGAAAAGCAGTTGCTAAATGGGAAATCACGTAACCAGAACTTGGGTTTCCTTTCCCTCATTGCCAGCTCATCCTGTGGGCACTGTGGTAACCAGCTGAAACTGACAACATTAATCAGTTTCAAACCTGCCTGGAGAATGTACAAGAAGGGAATTAATCTTTCCAGAATTCATTGGAGAGAAAGGGATTACAAGTGAGTAAGCAGGCCCACAATGGAGAGTACACATCATGAGGAATACTTTGGGTCTAGCAGCCATGAAAACACTATGCAAATAGTCTAGTGAATTCCCCATTGTGAGCATCCTTGTCTTCCTCTCTATTCCATGTTGAGCCATTCACAAAGCATTTCTTTTATTCCCCTACATGCCTTGCTTCTTCCATAAACTGCACATCTGACACTCAGCAACCAACATTCAACTCCATATTTACACAAGTCGTCTTCACATGCTTTTTCTAGATCAACAAAAAAAGTTTATTTCTTTAATTCATACATTTCTCTTAACCTTTTGAGGGAGTCCCAAGAAGAAGCACGACAATGAATACTGATTCTGTCTTTATTGTAAAGTTAGAATTGTAAGAATCTTGAAGTTGAAAGTATCTCTTCCATCCCTCGTTTTACTCTCCCAAAACAAGGGAGGGTACTTTCTGAGATGCTTTTTCAACTTTTCATTCCGGATGCAAGTTTCATTTTTGAGACCAGGGTCTGATTACTGTTATCCCTACTAAGGAGCAAAATCTGATCTGTTCCCTACTTACTTGGTTTAAACTGCATTGTACTTGTCAATTTTTGTTCATTGTCACTGTCATACTCTATCAATCAAATATGTTGAAACACCTTCCCAAAGACTCCAAATGAATCCTCCTTGTTGATGATGATGATGTTAATTTTTAATTCATTGGCAACAGGAGCAAAGGAAGTGTCAGTGCTGATGAAGTCAAGGAAAGCTTTGTCATAATTGGCTTTTTTATGTTTTGGCCCAGCAATTTATTTGAGGATACTGACTGCAAATTCTGGAATGCAAAATAAGCATTGCAATTTCTCTGGCTCGGTTGGAATCCAGCTTCCAGTATTCCACAGATTTCCAGAAGGTGGCAGCCAAGTCAAATAGGGTGGCTGATCTTTTTCTGTTTGGAGTTCATAATTGAAACTATAAAATATGTTTTCTCTAAACTGAACAGCTGTGATGCTAAGATATTTCTCCATTGGAAAGATTCTGTTTTTACAGCTGCTGAGGTTACCGTATCATTTTGTTCATGAAAATTTGGAAAAGCATAATTGTTGTCCCCAATGTCGAAACAACCTCCTTAAATTTTAAAATTCTGACAATTGTCCTAACTTGTTTAGTCTTCATGGCATCACATTGTATTTTGATAATTGTGCAATTATAATAAAATGATATTTTAATTTCATTACAGTAATATACAATTAAGGGTGGTGCAGTAGCTCAGCGGTTGAGATACTGGACTTGTCGGTTGAAAAGCCGGCAGGCCAGGTTCAAGACCCAAACGCCACACGATGGGGTGAGTTCCCATTCTTTCCGTAGCTCCTGCTCAGTTCAGAAGCATGGAAATGGGAGTAGATAAATAGGTACCACTTCAGAGGGAAGATAACAACACACTGTGATGTCATGCTGGCCGCATGATCATGGAAATGTTTTTGAACAGTACTGGCTCAATGGCCTTGAAACAGAGATGAGCACCATCCCCTACAGTCAGCAATAATTGGCAGAGTAAAATCCACAGGGACTCCTTTATTTTACTTTTGGCCACATTAAAGGAAAAATAAAACTTGTGAAATA